AGATTTCTTCAATATTTAAATCAAAGTAAAAATGAACAATGAGAAATCAATTTTCATTTTAGAAACTAAACTTTATTCTTTTTTTAGTTCATTTTCTGTAGATTAAATAAAAACTAAAATGCAAGATAATAATGATGAGGATGATGGTTTTCCATTCAATGATTTATTTCTCCAATTGAGGGTGAGTGTGGTTGTTGCTCTCTCTTACACGCACACTTTCACATCCATTATTAAAATTATGTTGACTGCATGAAGATAAAAAAACATTTTTTAGTTTTTGTTGTTTTCTTGTCTCCGAGGCATTATTTCTCTTGAAAACTTATAGAAATAAATACCGTTTTGAATAATTTTCTTCCAGCTTCATGTATTCTATGTACATGGACAATAGCTGATTGATCAACATTAATAATTGACATATCATTTCATTGAACATTAAATAATTCATCACTTATCTCAGCTATTCGAGAATTTGATGAATTTATTAAATCGTCAAGTAATAGTCAAGTTTCAATGGTTTTTCCATCGACATTAAAAGAACAAGTTTCATATAAAGAACATCTAATGACATTAAATACTGTGCAACATCCATACATTGGTTTTTTTTTCTTTTCATTCATTTTCAGATAATAATTAACTATGATGACGATAAATGTCCGTAGCCATTGATTCTTCAAATATATGATGCACCTTCTGTTTGTCAATGAAAATATCTTAGTAGAACTGAATATATTTATCATTCTTCATCAGTTAATAATTTAACATTACGATATCTAATTTGTATTGAATGTTCAGATGATAATATTGTTCTTCAATCAACTCATTTATCATCAATTATGACCATAAATGAATTTATACGAATAGATGAAATTGTTTGTTCAAATTTCCCACATATGACTGATACATATTTACAATCTGAAGTTGATTAAAATAAACTATTTCGTTCATAGTTAAATATTTTTCAAAATAAAATAGATGGTTTATCATTAAATGTTTTTTTTTGACAAAACCAATACAACATATTATATGTTATCAAATATTAATTGAAAATATTCTCAAACATAACTAAATTTCATAAACAACGACAATTACATTTACATAGTTCTATAATGAAGGTTAGAAAGAGAATAATTAAAATCTATTATCTATTGAAAAAGAAATTGGACATAAGTGAATAGTCCCTTGATTGATTTTGAAAGTCTCAGAAGAATTCTTATAACTTAGCAACGAAATCGTCTAGAGAGGTGTTAATTTTCTCTATCAAATAATTATCTTAACAGTTAACATATATAATAGGAAAATTTCGAAAAGCATTGCTTCCAAAATAGTCACTGGAAATAATCATATATTAGAGCTCATTGATATTCGGAATGAATAATACTCTAATTTTAAAGTTGTTATCCATCCTGTTTAGATACCAAATGGAAAAGAATTATTAAGATTTTTATTTAATGATTTTCTTTTATTTTCAACTATAAAAACATTATCAAACAATTGGCAATCACAATTATTTGAGACGAAATCAAGTTAACAATCAAAAAATTCCCAACTAGTAAATTAATTAATTAAACTTTCTATTTTACTCAATTTCTTCTTTATTTTTTAGCCGTTATGATTAGCTAATGTCATTGTTACTAATGAGATACCTATATGATTAATTAAATTTCTTTTTATTAGGACGAAAATTAATGAAAAATGATTACTTTTAAAAACACAATACACTAATATTCGGTATGATAGCAAAAGCAAAACATAAAATCTAGAAGAATATCAAGTAGCAGTAAAA